GCCTCAACATGGAGCCAAATGTTGTCGAATTACTGTGCTATACACTGGAATCATGATTTTCTTTGCAGCAAAGGCAATTTAAAGCACTCCTGCCTTCCTCTGCTCCCCCAGGTTCCTTCTTTCACACTTCTGACCATTTCATTATCCAGTTAAAAAAGCTGGGACCCACATGCTGCTGAATCGGCATAACCAAGAGGCAACAACTATGAGTAACAGCACAAACTTTTGGCAGCTTTCTTGACAGAAAAATCTACTGGAGAATCTTTTCCTAAAATTTATACTAATAAATGAAAAAGTGAAAATGCAGAGAACATTTTAGAAGGCAAAAATTGGTTTGGCAGTCCTGTATTTAACTTCAAAACACATCCTTATGAAGAACACTACCATGAAGCAAATTTTATGTTCTAAAATTACTTTAAGTACACTGCTCAATCAAAGTGAAACGCTAGAAGTAAATGCTAGAATAATTCAAGTGGGGAATATTAAATACATCACTTGAGAATAGTATTAACTCAAGAAATAGGCTTAAATTACGTATTAGGCATAATAGCTTGGTCTTCCATAGAGACTTACAAATGCAAATCCTTCCAGTAGGTTAAATAAAAAGTATTCTGATTTCTAAAACACATCACTAACTTTTAGACATTTTATGACAAATCTACTCCCCCTTAACCTATAGCTGTACAGAATCAGTCACTTCATCTGCTCAGAAACAAGTCCTTTTGAAGCCAGGTACTGCCACCAAGTGGTGGTGAAATTCTGTATGCAAATCTAATTACTCCCCACGTGTAGAACACACAGAAATGAAAACGTTCCTCTGGCCACCAAGTGTGAGCAATGGTGTATTTAATGTACTTAAAATTCATCAACCAAAGCAAAACCTACAGAATTTTTATATCCAAATCTAAAACTGACTTTCTGTTTAGAACAAAGGCTTTTCCTGCAATTCAGTCTTTTTGTTCAGGCACCTTTTGTGAGAATCTGGGTAAAGAACTATTTCTTCAATATAAATGCAATATATAGCAACAAACTGACTCTAACAATTAGCTGTTTTCTGTAACTGTACAAATCCCTAGTCAACTTCAACTACAAGGTCACAGAAGTCTTATTTTCACCATAGACCCAAATTTCAGAGAAAGGTGAATTCAGTAACTGAGCAAAAGACCTCTTAAAGTATAAACATTCAGCTTGTTATTTGGACAAGCTATATTATGTACTTCTGTTAGCTTGTAAAGTTCAAAACAGATTGGGAAGGATTTTAGTCAGGTATATTTGACTATTTTTACAGGAATATTTCTCAATTCACTATATTGTTAGTTACCTGCATGAACTAGTGTCAGTCCTACAGACCACAGATGAAAACTTGCATGACAACAAAATGATGCTGCACAATGGATTTACAGTAAAGCTTTCTTAAAAACAACATTAAGAACAGTTTAACTTGATTTTATTGAGGCAGATCTTAGAAAACCTTTCAACTTTGGAAATATTCTGATCTTATTTCCTATTATAGTAAATAAAAGTTGAAATCCTTTTCATCCAGCACAATTTGAAACACATTTAGCAATTTCTCATGCTTTTCGGTTGGCAACAATTTGCTGTCCATATTAACAGCGTCACAAATGTTAAGACTTCTTAACTCCTAAAGCATGCTATCCTTCCCAAATATAAAAAGACTACTTGAAATGAACACTCTGTTTTCACTCATTTAATTCAGAACTTTAGTGTAATGGATTATATTAGCGATATTCACTCATCCTTACCAGCAAAGTAGCTCTCATACTCCTCTATATTCTTTCAGTGATCAAGGGTTAAAAACCTAATAAGACTGAAAGAAGCAGTGCCAGGTTAAGGCCAAAAAACTACCTTGTACCTTTTTAGTTTAAGAACAAAAAAATCTGCCAACTTGGAGAAAGATCACTTTTACCGACAAACATGAAATAAAGAGTTTTTAAAAGACCCTAAGCTACATAACTCTGTAGATGATCAGATGAACAGAGAAAACTTGCAATTCCATGTGACAAGAAAAGATAATGTCACCCCCTTCATAAATGGTTTTTGTTTAAAAAGTCATTACCATAAGTGATTTAATGGCAGAAAACTCAACTTGATGTTACCAGGACAATACGAACAAGATGAAAATTGTTTTGAGATCCATTGTATGAGCCAAAGAAACACACATCCCACGTACTCAAATTTATCCTGTGCAAAATTCTGTACATAACCTATCCTTCTTCAGCATCCACAGTACTATTATAATTTATTACATCCTCTACTTTTACAGCAATACTTAATACATTCAAGACACTTTCTGGAAGCAAGTGTTTTCCCCTGATACCTCAAACGCTTAAAATCTGACCTCACTATACACACTGTTACAAGGAAAGTCAGCTCAAGCACCTACCTTCTGTCACCTTCTGGTTACACAGAAGCGTGACCCACTATTCTATTAACACACTGAGACCAAGATTATTTTTTCCTTACTTTTCCCCATATTTAATACAAGATATCTCCTCATATGGAGCTCAGGAAATACAGCCTGGAATTCAGAAACTTAAAAACTATGGTAATCCCAATAAAGTACATTCACTGCATATAGTATTTTACACCTGTGTGTTTTAAATAGCAAAAGGTTATTATTTTTAATTTCCAAAAGCCAGGATATCAATTTTTTTGCATTTGTATTAAAGAACAAAAAGCCCAGATCCCAGATCCTTTATTCAAAGAAAACCTACATGGAAACCACACTGTCAGTCATTACGAAATACATTCGGGTCAAGTGTACAAGAAAAATGTTTGAGCAAATCATTAAATCCCATTTTCAGCTATTGGTTTAAATTACATAAGCTTATGCAAAAGGACAAGGTTGCACTGAGTCGTGGGAATTCAGTGTTTAGAAGTCTAGAAGATGCTGCAACCACCACAGTCATGAGTGAAGACAGAAGACAGAGGCACTTGGGAAACGCAGTTTGTTCTTTAAGTCTTTCAGTGATCCTTGCTGCCCTTCTCTAACCTTCTGTGCCATTTTTCAGTCCCAGAACTAGACTAGTACTCAAGAAGCAATACACATAGCAATGCAATGCGTCTATGATACACCACAGATTTGTATAACCGGATCTGGTTTTTGTTTTATTCTGGTTTTTGTTTTGCTCCCTGATAAATGCATAATATTTGCATTGATTTACTGACTATTCAGTTGTCATTTTTACAGAACTGCCAGAACCTCAAGATCTCCTCCAAGCAATAATAACACTGATCAAACACCATTACACTGTTTCCATGTATTCTTTTACGCATTTTTTCTGCCCTCTTGTTATGTATGCAAGAGCAGAGGCTTTCCCCTCAGAGACCAGCTTTTTTCTATTATACAGAGACAACCACCATTAAGATGAAAGGTCTTTGGAGTTTCATTCAGATGATCTCATGCTTAAAGAACATATTCAGTTATTTATATAGACTTCTCAATTAATTTTCTGCATTTAAACCAGTAATGAGATAACACATAAATTAAGAAGAGACAGAACATAAACTGTAAGCATGAAGTACTTTCAGTACTTTCAGCATTAGAAGGCACAGGGAACAATATAAATCTTACTGAGAATACAAGTCCCTTCTGTAGCCATGATTCTTGTTTTGCACTCATCCTCAGATAAAGTATTTCCTTTTGCAGAGTTGCATTTATTTGTTTTCTCAAAGCAACATATTCTAGAAACTTCCTAAGTCAAGCTAAGGCAGTAAACATCGTCTACATCTGATTATATGCATGCTACAGCAGTACAGCTTACTTCTAATTGTTCACAGTTCGGAAGACAATCCATAATCAAAAGTCCTGAATCAGTTGTACATTATACAAAGGAACAACATCGAACAAAGTGTTGTTTTAAATTCCCCACAAAGCATTCTGCTGTAATCAGTATTTTAAAGTTGACGGCAGTAGCACTAAGAAAAGTCTTTGCAGAGCAGAAGACACAACAGACACGTCTATTTTAAAATGCACATACTACATTTGGGGAGTTAGAACTGGGTGATCCTAAGGACTTTTCCAACCCTAAACATTCTATGATTTTTAAAACTACATCTACAGCTAAAAAACAAGCCCATCTGAGCAAACAGGATCTTACTCTCACCTCTTCAAAACACCAGGTCACCGCAAGAAGATGTATCACAGACGGCATATTGGTCAAGTAGCAAGCAGGAAACTCGAGAAGCCAGCTTTTGTTTGGTATGGAAGCCTGTGTACACAAGTCCATCATGCTCTGTTTCCACAGCAGAGAATTTACTGAACTGTGGGCCTTACCTAAAGATACTCTTGAAAGACTCAAGCTAACACAGACTAAAGCAAATTGGTCCCTGCTACATTTCACAAAATTTAACGGAGAAGAGACTAATATTACAGTTCAAAGTTTTCCTGAAGTAGAATATCAAGTAACATGAAGAGAAACAAAATATGGGATAAGTTCTCTTTTTCCTCAAAATATCTGGGGGGGTGGGACAAATACCAAAGTTACAGAACAATTTTCCCAGACCCACACTTCACATTTGCAAATAGACACCTGAGTTCTACAGCTCATGAGTACCAGCAGTAAATCTTCATAGACTTTTCTGTCTTTCAAATAGCACCCAGAAGTGTCCCTGAGGGGTCAAATAAACCACCAAAACCCAAACCCAAACTCAAGAGAATTTCATTATTAAAAATTCTGATAGCTGGTCAAGTTTCCCACACAGTTATTTATTAATCGAGTAAGTGCAAGTTTAACAGCTGCTTTCACAATGCAAAGTACACTTTCAGTACTTTGAAACCAGGTGTATTATGTGTAGAGGATGAAATTAATTTGAAGGACTCATCATTTTGGTTCTCAACAGCTAGCAGAATTCCTTGACAGCTTTTTGAGTGTTTAGCAGTATACACTAATGGACCTAAGGAATTTGGGGTAGGGGGGAAAGAACACCCATTCCCCCCCCCCCCCCCGAAAAGCAGAACCCACAAAACTCCTACTCACCTTTGTTTGATTTACATGAAGCTGTGAGATCCACTTCCACATCAAAACAAACCTGCAAAATAAAACAAGAACTTACTGTACAAATATCACTGTTTCCTGCTTGTGTTCTAGACTATGAGGCAAGACAGACAAAGCACAGAGATAAGAAATTCACAGCTAAACAAGTATTCCATCAGTTTTGTCTCAGCGTAGAAATATCAAAATTCCAGTGGTCTTCACCCAATTACACACGTTAATTTCCAAATACACACAGATGTTGGTATTTCAATTAAAGATCCACCAAGAAATCCTGTCAAATACACACAGGCTATTAAGCTAAGTGAGCGGGACAGGAAAAAGTTACAGGTCAGAAAAGCTCTGCTGCATTTTCTACTAGGGCCTTCAAGGTCCCTGGATGGGGAATGAAACACATAAAGGAAATTGTCACAGATGTTTTTTAAATCTTTCAAGGAAAAATGATGAACATATCCAAGATTAAGTGTTGGACAATTTTAAGTCTGGGCCTCACTACTTCCTTGCCTTTCCTAGGACAAAACTGTGCTTATTGTTTTAAGGCTGGCTGAGCCATTTTAAAATCATTACTTACTTTGCCTTCATGAAAGATAATTAAGATTAAATGCTCTAATCTCAGTTTTGCTCATGGATCTTTAACAGAACTAACTATAGAGGAAGTATTTCACTTCCTAGTTGGAGATAATCAGAGTATGTAACATTTGGAAGAGACCCCAAAAGTCACTGAAGCTGCAAAAAAGCAAGAATGGATTTGGGTACAGCATCTCTGGGTCTACTTCTAATGAAGACGCACCAACCAGCATAGAGCTTTACAGAGAAGGTTATTTGTATCTAAACCAATGTATCTATCACAATAAGTAACTCTGAAACAGATACCCATTCTCAAATACTGCTGAAGATTCTTTCCCTCCAATTTGATCACACACAGCTTTATGATTCCAAGTTCCCCGGTTAACCTGTAACTGTGTCAAAGCCACCTCCCAAATTACAAAGAGTAAGAAAAGACAGACCTTTCAAAGAAGTCTTGCTGGCAACATAAAGCAAGAGAAGACAAGTCTCCAAACTCCTTTCCCTAGCCCCAGGATCATTACTTAAGTACCACATAAACCTGTTGCCTTTATGCATTATTGTTATTCAAAATACATGCTCATTTCTCAAGTAAGATGTTATTACAGAAAAAAGTCAAAAATTCTTTAGTCAGGTTTCAGAGTAATGTTGATGTGCCTGGAGAAGCAGAAGTGTTATTTGCAAACAGTAATGGAGCCCTGCTGTGTGTTACAGAAGGTAAATGTAAAGCTACAGTTAAAAACACCCACAAAATACCATGCATTTTTGAAGAGCCATAACACCTTTCAGTAAATGGGATCCAAACTCTTTACAGGCTTTAACATTACCAAACACTAATATCAGCACTAAACCAGACACCTCAGTAATCCTGTGTGTGCACTTTGTCTGGGCAGAGTCAATCCCAGTCAAACACTTCTCTCACTGCAAGTAAGAACTACATCAACGTCTTCCCCCTGCAAAATGATCTCACACCACCACTGTAGCAATTCTCACATTTTCTGAACATTGCAATTAGCTGAACATCAGTAATAACTGTTCTCAATATAGATTTCATGGTTTGTGATTCAAGCGCAGACAAAATTTTTGCATCAAAGGATTTAGCCCAGACAACTGTAGATCAGTGCGGTAATACAGTTACTCACTGTAACAGCTTTTTCATGAAAACATTAATTTGGAGCAATCTATTCCTCTGTTGACATAAGATGGGAAGTCTTACCCTACACTGCCTATCTGGAGGGTATGTACTACTCTTGTACTCACTGAATGTGCTCTTTGGAGAAAACTTAAATGCAAGTACCCTTTGGTTCATAGGAAGCTCACAGACCACTTGGGGGATAAACCTGGGGGTACTCTACTGTCCTGGGGTTTAGCACAGAAGGAAAGAGAAGTGAAGAGAGTAGATGGGATATTGCCTGGCTGAAGGAAAGGTGACAGAAGTCTCACCAAGAAGATGATCGGCAAGCAAACTGCTGAAGCACCAAAGGGCTGGCCACTGCAGCCCTGTGTTACAAACTTCAAAGGGCCCTACAGAATTAACTCCCCTTTCTGGGATTTCAAACTCACTTGTGTTCAAAGCTCCACTCTATGGGTAACAGGTCATGCCACGGCATGCAAACATCTTAATGAAGTCAATGCGATTCACAGAAAGACACCAGATTTTAGCCCGAACTACTGACAGCACTGAGACTCTCACTGTTTAAACCAATCCAACCTACAGTACTTAACCAACACTCAACTCTCAAAGGTCATTCTGCTGTCAGAGAAGATTCCTCTCATGCCAGTATAATCAAACTCTAACACCTACCATTCATTTCAAGGGTGTTGACATTTGGAATAACTGAGCACCTGAAATTCTTCACCATCAGATCCAGGAGGGCTAGTTCTCCAAGACTCCTTAGGGAAAGGTGAAGATTTCAAAATCACAAATGCTTTGGCTCTGATTTTTCTGTCTCAATTCTCATTATCGGAAAAGGAAGCAAGAATGAAAGCCAGACTCCCTCACCAGTAATAAAGACAGCATCAAAAGACTCAAAAGCAGGTAGGAAATGTAGTTACAGAGCATTCACCTTGAGGCCTTGCCACTCAAAAGGGGCCCAACAACAGGTACAAGGACTGCTGTGCAATGGTGAGGCTTCTGATCACTGATAAGCAGGTGCCTGTTCTGATAAGGGCAGAGAACAGGGAGTGAAAGAAAACTGCAGTGGTGGAGACAGGAGATATCTCAAGTGTACCCACAGTGGTACTAAAGAAACACAGATGGATTCTCACAGGTGAGAAAGCTTAAAGAAGCACAAGCATTTCTCACTCATTGGTAAATGTGAACCAAGCCTGGTTCAATGATAACTATGATCACCTTGCCTAGTGACAAAGCAAGAAAGCATCATACCAACGATACTTCTTTTCATGCAACATATTAAAAAGGCCAAAGTAGGCACAAGAAGTTCTCCAGTCTATATGCAATGACAGAGTCACACTGGTGAGTACTGGTCAGAGACAGAACAACCCCTCAAGTGCATCTGAGCTACAAAGACACAAAGAGATTCTCAAAAAGCATTTCAGGAGTCATTTAAAAGGCTGTATACACAGGCTGCAAAATAACTGATACAGATAATCAGAGTTTTCAATCCTTCTGGCCAGCTAGAGAGCAGCTACAAAAGCTTCCATGATGCTGCTTTCCCAAGTAAGCAACAGTTACAGTTGCTACTTACAAATTCAGGTTCATAAAGAACAACTAAGATAACTACTTTCACATCAGCAAAGATAGCAGAACAGATGTTACTCATGACTTACATCAAGCTCATAACCATTCACAACACAAGGTTATGTAATGACAATTCGAGTCCAAAAGTGAGCTACTGCACAAAACTTGCCTAAGTACTCCTCTTGTTATTAGAACTGGATCTTGTATCAACACTAAATTTACTTCTATTCACTTTATGTTATTAGGGCCCTATCAGCTATAGTGAAATACCTCCTATAGCATGCCCCTCTATGGGGCAAACATCTGAGAAACACTAGAATGCAAAGGTGCACAATGAGTAAATAAAATCTGAAGTAATCCCGACAGTAGTTTTGATCCATTTATCTACTACTTAGCCCTTATTTCATAGAATCATAGAATAGTTAGGGTTGGAAAGGATCTTAAGATCATCAAGTTCCAACCCCCCTGCCATGGGCAGGGACACCTCACACTAAACCATGTCACCCAAGGCTCTGTCCAGCCTGGCCTTGAACACTGCCAGGGATGGAGCGTTCACAACTTCCCTGGGCAACCTATTCCAGTGCCTCACCACCCTCACAGTAAAGAACTTATATCCAATCAAAACTTTCCCTGTTTAAGTTTCACCCCATTACTCCTTGTCTTATCAATACAGTCCCTAATGAAGAGTCCCTCCCCAGCATCCCTATAGGCCCCCTTCAGATACTGGAAAGCTGCTATGAGGCCTCCACACAGCCTTCTCTTCTCCAGGCTGAACAGCCCCAGCTTTCTCAGCCTATCTTCATATGGGAGGTGCTCCAGTCCCCTGATCATTCTCGTGGCCCTCCTCTGGACTTGTTCCAACAGTTCCATGACCTTTTTATGTTGAGGACACCAGAACTGCACACAATACTCCCGGTGAGGTCTCACAAGAGCAGAGTAAAGGGGCAGGATCACCTCCTTGGACCTGCTGGTCACGCTCCTTTTGATGCAGTCCAGGATACGGTTGGCTTTCTGGGCTGCAAGCGCACACTGAAGCCAGCTCATGTTCATTTTCTCATGGACCAACACACCCAAGTCCTTCTCTGCAGGGCTGCTCTGAATCTCTTCTCTGCCCAACCCGCAGCTGTGCCTGGGATTGCTCCAACCCAGGTGTAGGACCTTGCACTTGGCATGGTTAAACTTCGTAAGGCTAGCATCAGCCCATATTAAGTAGAGGAAAAACAACTGCTCACAACTGTTTCCTAACAGATCTCTGCTAACTGACACATCTACACCTATCTGGGAAAAGACACTTAACCATCTTCAACCAACATGCTCTCCTGGAATGGCTGCAGTCAGAAATGTAATTCATAGAGAAGTTTTTTTGGTGTGGTGGGTTTTTTTCTTTTGCTGGTTGGTTGCTTTTAAAGACACTTGTAATGTAATACAAATCTAGCTTTTGACCCTATAGGTGATTATGCTTGTGGAAGAAGGACAGAAAAGGAAGAAACAAAGGGTAGAACAAACTGTACTGTCCAAACTACTTTTGCTGGTGTAAGCTGTGGCTAAACAGTGCATTTCACCAGATTAACATAAAAACACAGGAAAAAGCTTACAACTGTAGGCTTGATTTTCAAGTGCTTTGTCGTGATTTAACCCCAGCCAGACAGCTTTCTCACTCACTCCCCCCCTTCTTGCCATCCCCCTACTCCTGAAGGGACGGAGAGGAGAATCGAAAAGAATGCAGCTCCCATGGGTTGAGATAAGAACAGTTTAGTAACTAAGGTATAACA